CTCTCTACGTTCGCCTCTTGCGTTACCTACGTCATCATTTTCTCTTCTTTATTTCTAAGAACAGCGAAAACAAAGTTCTCTGCTTGGACCCGTGACGGAATGACAGTGTTCGAATTCGCAATGCGGAATCAAATGCAGCTTGACGGGGAATACTCCCTACTCTCAGCGTACCGTTTGGGAGCTAGCGACATTAACATTCAAAGTATTTCCACACTGCGTCCATCATTCAGTCTGCTGCGAGTACAGGATATAGGGTAACATTTTCCAGAGTCTCTAAATTGCTTTTAGTTGAAAAGTTTGCATGTGTTAAGTTTTTTTGAGTACTTTTTTTTACAAAAAAACCTTGTGTAACATACTAATTAAACAACGCGCAACTAAATATCGGTTCTGAATATATTTATGTCTGGGTAGGACCTTATCCAAAAATTAGTATTAGTGCTGTAAGCGTATGTTATAAACATTGATGGAACTACAAAACCAAACCGTGCCCTAGATAGCCGTAGGAAATGTACCTAGCGCAGCAGAAGAGGAAAAATGATATTCTCGTTGGAATGTTCGTGCAGCGGGATGCATCTGTCTGGAACGCAAGAAACAGGACTGCTTCCTATCTCATATTTGATGAAAAAAGATGGTCCTAAACAGCACACTCTTCCTGCCTTATTTCTTATTTTTCGAATTTTTGAAAATTCATTGAGTTCAACGACAATTAGCCCTGCGCTATTCTTCCGTGGAGAAAATCTCCCGTGGAGAAAAATAAAGAAAAAATATTGAGCGCTTTTTAAGAAAATGGTGTTTTTATAATTTGTATTAACATCTATCAGAAATTTATCTTAAAATAACCAGTATATACAGCTATGCATAAGGAAGTTCGTCATATTGTAGTTTCAAATGCATTCATAATTCAATATATTGGATGGCCTCTAGTTCTGGATGTTGAATTTATTTCTGAAATTATCCTTGCTTGTCTGTATGATGTGCTGTAAATAATGCGAGCAGTTACAAATAATGAGAGAATGTATGTGCTGTTAAGCTCAACTAATTTAAAACACATTTCATTTAAGGCAAAAATTATTGTAATTTTGCAATATTAACTTCTTACAATTTTCGAAAATAGTTCGCCGGAAATGAGACTAACACTACTTTTTTATCGTTTTTCGATACATACGAGAAAAAAATTTAAACACAAAATTGGAAAAGATTTTAAGAATGTTGCTGATTAACACTAGCCCAAATTTCTCATAAAATGTCACGAAAACAACTCATTTTCGAAATGATCTTGTTTCAAGATGTCTTTAAGGAACAGGATTTATTGAGGAAAACCATCCCTATCTTCAATACTGTAGTTGTAGGAAAGCGGAAAAAAGGAAAGAAAAAAAAACACTTTTACAATTTCCGAAAAATCCCGGATTTCAATCAAAATGAGACCTGTATCATTCTCGTTAGCATTCTTTACGATATCCCAGGACAAAGTTTAAGTTACAAAGTGGAGCTGTATTTGAGAAAATTCAAGTGCCCCTACCCAATCAAAATACGTTCAAATTCAGAAAGTTTAGTGTTCACGTAGACCGGCGTAGGTGGCTCATGGCATAAATTGATATCACTGCAGTGCCTCTGGCCCGGAGACCCTAAGGTTCGAGACCCGACGGTTCGAGATTAGCTTCATAGCTAGGTCGAATTCCGCCTCTGTCTGGAGGAGAATTGTTGCGGGCGGCTGCTGTGTTCCATACTTTTCCGTGAATTTCTTTTTTTTGTTCCTTGATGAACACCTGGCGAATGCCGGAGCAGTGCCCTAACAAACGAGAACAAAACTTACTTTGACATCAATCCTAAGATTGTCTCATGGATTGAACAACTTTCTGAAACTTTCCATGTGGAGTTTGAAGATTTATTGGTAATGTGTTTCTTGGAAAAAACAAAAAATCCGAATTTATTTACCGCTCTCTTTAGAACAAAATACTGTACTCTAGTACTCGTTTGCGACTGAAAAGGGCGCGAGTAACAAAGAGAAAGACTTGTGTTGTGATGGACGAAACATAATGCGTATGAATCATTTATTTTCTCAAACCTGGAAATCCGGGAAGAAACCCAGATTTCCACTAATCCAGAATGTTGTCCTGAAATCATGTGTTGTATTACCACCCTTACTAAATTATACACTTGAGTAGATAAATAATGGGACATATGCAAGTGACTGTATCATTATTACCTTTGTGTAGACCATTACCTCCGTTTCGGAGATAATGAAGGAATACAGTCACACGTGATTGGACTCTTTCTCTAGTAAAGGGGTGTGGTTTGGTAAAACTTACGAAGTACTATTCACTTTGATTCAAGTGGTCAGTGAATGTGTACCATTAGTAGGACGATGTGCCTTTCTCCAAACTTTCACTTCCACTGTAACACATGCATAATACATTCTCAAGATTGACTTTTCATGTTTTATGTTTTTCCTCACCCAAAGGATTCATTAAATTGAATTTCCGATAAGTGGAGTTTAACTGTCAGCGTGGTTTTCTTCACTATTTGCAAAATAGTTTCAACTACAAATTAATAATTTATGAACTCCTTGAGTATATTAATGACGTATAAAAGAAAAATAAAACGCTGCACATGATTGGTAACACGATATATGAAATACCAATTTCTTATGATTAACTATCTATAATGAAATTGTGAAACATCCTAATCGTGCTCGTGAACTTAAAGTTGGTGTAAACAGGAGCGGATCCAAGGGGAGGGACATGAGGGAAATCCTCCCCTCAGTAACTGTAATTTTTACTTGTCACGAAACTTTCAAGCAAAAATATTTTCGGATAATTATTAAAACAAATAATATCATTCTGGTGTAAACAACATTTAATTCATACACTGCAAAAATATGAAATCAATGTTGTCTATTCGTTTAAAAACACCTCTCATCCAGGATAGAAGATACTCCTACGGGAATGGTGAGCGTGAGAGAAAGGCACCCTTTTGCCGATCCAAATTGCGAAACGTCGCCAGGAGACGGAGCGCGTCGCGTGGCGTGCAGTGCTAGGGCAGGCACCCTCCGTCTCCGCCATCAATACCGCCACCACCACCACCACCACCACCGCCGCCGCCGCCGCCGCCGCCGCCGCCGCCGCCGCCGCTGTTATAATCTCGAATGTTATTTTTAAACTCCTTCGCGGTGGACGCACCGCGGGCGAGCCGCGATCCCCTCCCCCCTCCATCTCGCCTGCGGTCGCGGAAACGGGCACGGAAGCGACCCCGGGCCCCCGCGGAGGGGGGCGTATTTTTATTTGCAATGTTTCATCAGAACAATTCTCAAAAAATACAAAAATAGGTTAAATGAAAAGGAATGAAGAGAAACGGCTAGCAATTAGGTATCTTCAATTATTAATATGCAGAAGTATCCTCATGGCAACAATAGTTAAGAATAGTCAAGCGTATTAATAAATACTCCTGGAAGGCAGCAATGCCGAAGAGATAAATATTTTTTTTAAATAAAAAGAATAGGGAAATACAGTGTGCCAAGAAAGTCTCTCCGCGCCGAGCCTTATCAGGACTTTCCGTTAAAAATTGAATTTACGTTCGTAGCAACCGCATTACTGGGAAACAAGTGAAGAGACAGCACTTCCAGCATCTGCTGTATCTGTGCGTAGTACACAATTTACGTTTTCTTTTGTTACAAGCTCGTGCTACCAACGTAATTTCTGTTGCTCGCATTCTTACCAGCAAGGTGCCACAGAAGAGAGATTTTCCTGGCGCACTGGCACCGTTTGTAGACACATCCTTTGTCAGATTCATTATATATTTTTAAATTACATACATGCACAAAAAGAATTCGGGTCATGCGGGCGAAGAGAAAACATGGATGCGTGCGTGCGTATGTGTGTGTGTGTGTGGGGGGGGGGGATGTACTCGATCTTCCCGTGACGAAGATGCCAGGAGGGCGTCTGCGAAATGGTGAAATGGGGATCGGACGGAAGAGGGCACGAGGCGGGTGGAGCGAGAGCGGAGGAGTGTGGAGGCAGTGGGGGGGTGGGGGTGGGGTGGAAGGGCACGGCCCCCTTTCTTCCCCCCTCCCAATGAAAGACCTAGAGTTTCTTGTGTTACCTGATTTGGTAACTTAAATTAACTGTTTATGTTGGAATTATGTAATTTATTGAAAGAATAGTATTGTATAGGATCATGTATACACTTCAAAAATAATACACTATATAACAAATGCTTATTATTTAACAAAAATCTATGGTGGCCATCTCCAAAATGATCGGCTAGGTCCGCCCCTGCGTTGAGACGGAACGGAGCGGATCAGCGGAAAGCGGGTGGTAGAACACTGAGGCGAATGTGAAAAACGTTAATTACGCTCTTTAATGCTATTCGACGGGCGTGATAAACTCGAATAAAAATATCCAATTCGTGAAATTGTATTTTCACTTTCTGCAAGTCCTTCACTTTTGAACATTAGAAAAGTTATGAGATGTGAAAAGTACATTTTCACTTTCTTAACCTTCATGCTTTTCGGGGATGTAGTATCTTCTGTATAAAGTTGTGACATTACAAGTTAATTTCCTGTACAAAATAAGAATTAGTTATTGGTAATTTCTGAATTATTTACCCCAAAAATTTGAATGTGTGTTCTAACTTGACATGCATTCTACATCTTTCACCAGCACTGAACCATGATTAGTTATACTTGAATCTCTGCTATGCATTTGTGTGCGAGTCACATGAATGTGTGTTTCCACACTCCTCGGAAATCAGATTTCAAACATACCTCTTCTAACTATTCTCATATTTCTTTCTTTCGTTCCCTCTTTTCTTTCTTTCGTTCTCTCACATTGCCTTGTGCTTTTTTCTTCTTTTTTTTAATGCTTAATCATGATTGGAAAGCTTTCTATTGCAGTATTACCAAAATAATACAATGTGTCATTAATTGGTATAAAATGCATAATGTTCCATCAGAGAATTATAAAACTTCAATCATAATATTAATTTTTCTTTCTTTCTTGCAGAGGTGGAGACGTCGGTGGTTTGTCCTGCGACATTCAGGAGAACTTCCTGGCCAATACTTCTTAGAATATTATACTGATCGGAACTGTCGTAAACTTAAAGGGAAGATAGACTTGGACCAATGTGAACAGGTAAAATTTCATTCCTACAAATTTTGAAGTAGACATTGTGAGTTTTCAACCTTGCAACCTTGTTAAAATAAAACATACACTTGACATGGATTCTTTCTTTTTATTTCCGTTTTGCTTTTTTTATTTTTCTCTTTTTCCTTCTTTCTTTTTTTCTTTCCCTTCTTTTCTCTTTTTTCTTTTCTCCTCTTCTTTGTGACTAACATTAATGATTTTTGTATGATAGTCAACATTAGATATGTTCTTTAATGCTAATATTTATTTATGATTTTTAGGTTGATGCAGGTCTAAGGTTTGAAACAAACAAGCAGAAATATCAGCACATGTTTGATGTAAAAACTCCAAAGAGAATCTATTACCTGGCTGCAGAGTCAGAGGAAGAAATGAACAAATGGGTTGAATATGTGTGTCATGTATGTGGACTTAAAGCGTACAAGGATGATGAAGATGGTAATTCTCAATTTAAAAATTTATTTTTTTATTACCCAGTTAAGTTATTGATAATTGTAGAATCAACAGATAATTATATGGATATTAATTAGTATTTGATATTATTATAATCTATTATTTTGAACACCCCTGAAGTAAAACAATGGAAATTTTGTAGGATGGGAACTTTGCGTTAAAAGGTAACATTTTTTAAGCATATCTTCCGAAATGTATTTTTAGATATTTGAATGGTGAAGTTGTCTAAGGGGTTCCAAACCTTGTACACTGTTTTACACAAAACCTTTCCCTAATTTTTTAGTGTTGGACACGACTGTGAAATTTTGAATTGATTTTTTGTCCCTGTCCCTCGCTCTCTCTTTTTTTAATATTTTTTTCTCAGTAGTTTCTTTACTAAACCAAATGCCCCATCACAGAGAAAGAGAATGACTTTGTCCTGGCTGAAATTAAAGAACCTCATCAAATTAGCCATTTTAGTTAAAGCAGTTTAGTGATACATAAAAGTTTGTGGTTCTTGTTTTGACTGCCACAATGTTTGTTAATAGTTTGTTGCATTGCTAGCCATTTTCACCAACCGTGTGGTGTGTAAAAAAAAAAAAAATTAAAAAAGCACCTACTATTGAAGAAGTTGAGGTTATGTTACAAGTCTAGCTATTACACCTCAGTTTGTCTGTTTCGTAGTTTGAAATAGAATTTTTACAATAAATCATTAGTCTATAAAAAAAAGATATTTATTTACCAAAACAATACTTTTGCAAATTTCATCATGTATGGGCTTTTTACAAATACTGATTCAATTGCAATTGGGTATTCATTCTCCAGTGGCAGTAAAATATTCATGTTATAAGTAATTGTATAACTTAAACAATTGGTATTATAAATAAATAAATAATTAATATTGAATCAAATTATTTATAAAAGGTCTTCAGTATTGCAAAGGATTTTTATACTTGGTGTCATGTTATAATAAAGCAAATATTTCCACCATTTCTTGAAGAAACATTCTTTGCCAAACAAAGGAGGGTGATTTGGAAAATAAAAAAAATTGAATTTTTTAATCTTCAAAAGTTGTAACGAAAGTAGCACATCTGCCAATCAAATTGGTGTTTTGTGCTCTATTCTTAGAAGAAAAAAATATTAACACCCGAGATGTTCCAAAAAATTACATTATTTTCTTAGTTTCATATTTCATGTACAATTTTTTAAAATTAAAGTTTCAGTCATAATGGCACTTTTATCTTTTGATTTAGAGCAATATGCCCTCTTTAGTCCTTACAATATGTAAAAAAAAAAGAAAAAAAAAAGAAAAGAAAAACAACTCTATTCGAGAATGTTTTAAACTTATTTTTGGAAAATTGTCCTAAATTGAAATGAGAACCAGGGGAGGAGGGAAATGAAAAACCCTACAACAAAGGATTTTAAGGTCTCTTATTTACTAATTGCTTTCCAAATTAATATGTAGCTTGAATATTAAAGGTTCAAGACTGTGTTAAAAAAAATTAAGCTTTGTAATTGCTGAAATTTCGAAAATTAAGAAAAAACTCTATCACACATACATCATATTAATAAGCACACCTTCCACTATTTAAGAGAAAGTTAAAAATTGGACCCATTTGTAAGAAAATTTTGAACACATCTCGTGAACTTGATCTAAAAAGTGACACCTACCTCTGTTTCAAACTCTTATGTGTAGAGTTCAACTAGACTAATCAGAAAATATTCATTTGGGGTAAAATTGTGGGTTCAGACTAGTATTGTCCAGACATTAGATGGATGTTTGTGGAGGGGGGGTGGAGAGAATATAAAAACTTTTCTGGGGTTTGGAACCCCAAAATGTGTTTAGAACATTACATAACTGTTTTTACTCTATGCATATATACTGAGTAAATACTTGAATATGAGAAAGTAAAAATGAAATGTTTTGAGATCGTTGGGTCCAAAACAAACATTTTCCTGGATGTGAATAATTTTTAACAATTATTATTGATGCTTAATTTAATTTTACACTGTAAAGATTATACAATAAAACTTGCTCATGTGTGTAATGCGAAAATCTGTCTAATGAAAACATAAATCACGAACCTTCCAAACATAAATTATACAACATTACATTGCATAACATGGAACTTGTCTGATACGGAAAGAATTATGTTCCCTAGAGATTCCACATCGAGCAAGTTTTACTGTTTATAATTTTTCTCTTGCACATTTTTATTTAGGCAAGTGGAAGATGATTCTAAAACTAGAATGTAAAGCTACCTCTGTTCATGAACTTTCATGAAAATGTTAAACCACTTAATACTCTTACTTAGCAATTTATATTCTTGAGTCTCAGTGTGACACATCAAGAGCTATTTTAAACTGGTAAACTGCAGACAGAGTACTTATAATTAATGTTAATTTGCTTTTCAATTTTCTGTTTTCAACATTGAACTGACAGTTACACAAACAAACAAACACAACAAAAAAAATCAGAGATTTAGAAATGGTATTCCATTATCTGGAAAAAATGGTTAGGATGATTGGTTAATAAATGAAATAGAAATTAAATACATATATCGTACCAGTCATTTGTAAATGTTTAACTAATGATTAAAAAGTTAGGATTAAAATATTATTTTCTGTAATTCAAATGTTGCTGAGCAAATTCTTGAGTGCAGCTATTATATCTATGGAAGTATGATAGTTTAAGTATGATCATCATTATAATTATCTTTTAATTATTTTCAATTATTCACTATAGATCTCAAACATACTTAGCTGTGATCAACACAGCTTGGGTATTTGACATTGTGTTTATGTATCTTGAAATCACTACATGGGTGGAATGTTGTTAATTACTAATAAAAACCTGTGTTGAATGTCCAAATGTGTCATTGAAAACCGTTAACCAGCAAGGCAGGGTTTTGTGTGATTGAAAAAATGTAAGCACTTGAAAAAGGAAGATGTGAGGACTATTGTTTTTAAAGTAGAGTTGAATGATTGAGAGAGAAATGTTACATTTCAGTGACTGAAAATTATATGGTACCCTTTCTAAAGTGCTGCCAAATAATAGGTTATATATCAGAAGTTGCATGTCAGAGGCCCATAGAGGACTTGTTTATTGCTTTGAAAAATAATTCCCATTTATTCATGCACCTTCTTTTTAATGTTGTAAAAAAGACATTGACACGTTGAGACATTGTTACATTGAAAAGCACAATTTCTTTGAGATTGCGGTCATGTGACATCCGATAATTTTCTACTTTTAATTCAAAATAAGCATTCAATCATTGCACTGAACCATTTGAAAATTGTACACTAAATAATATTGATATTGATAGCACTAGTAGATTAGTTTCAAAAATAAGCATTTGGTAACTATTTCTATATTCTTGGTGAAGTACCAATTGTTTTTATTGCCTAACTGTCATTATATATTAATATTAGATATTAATCCTTTTCATATGAAGCATTGTATAATTATTTCTTTCTGATTATCTTGGAGTATAAACATATCTCCAATTCTACTTCTCACCAACACAAATGATACACAGAATCATTACAAATAGTAACACATTGCACATTCTATATAAATATAGAATTAACATATCCTTTTTTCTTTTTGACAATCAAAGGTTTTCAAAAAAATGTTTTTTCATATGTGTAATAGTGGAACATAATGTTTTGTATAATATTTATAAGCATCATGAGGTATAAAAAATAAGTTTATTATTATGTCTGAAATGAAAAAATTACGAACAAATTTGTATGATATTCTTAACAAGTAAACAATTGTTAAACTATATCAAAATTTATTTGTCATTTTCAGACAAATATATGAATTATTATTTGTCATGCCTGATAATGCTTACAATGCAAAATGTCATGTTCCGGCATTATATGGACTACAAAATATTTTTTTGGAGACTTTGTTTATTGATTGTCAAAAAGAAAAAAGGATACTTGTGTGTTAAATTGTTAATATTATCAGTTACAATCAGACTATTTTTTATATATTTGGCTGTTTATATTATTAAAATGGTTTGTTTGTCCACAGAATACGATTATGGGGGAGCTGGAGGAGAAGAGGAGGAAACAGCAGCTTCAGTGCAAGCACCTTTAGCTTTGCCCTCTGGGGATAACATAGACCCAGCACTCAGCACCAGCACAGAGTCACCACCTGTGTCGCCGACTAGCACCATATCTGGTCCATACATTCCCATTAGTGAATGCATATCAGGCAAACCCCTTTCAACACCAAACGGTTTGGAAGATTTCAACAACATAGTCCGCCAAGGAGGCTATGGCTCTGCTACAAATGCTCAATATGGTGTCTCTTCAAATAGTGTCTCAACTTCTCAGTCTTGGAGAGCAACGTTAAAAAACAACAACCATCCAAGTGAACCCCAGAAAACTGCTGGTGCTCCAGTGGCCAACCAGGAAGAAGTACCTGTGAATCCCCTTCCAGCAAAGACCTCTCAGACCAAAAAACAAAACAAACCTGGTTATGAAGCATATCCTTTGCCTCATGTTAGTGAATTTTATGACTCTCCCAGAAAACTTCACCCCCCAAATCTGGAACTCTCTCAAGGGGGCAATCACACTCCTCCCCTCCATAGCCCTACAACAGATGCAGAAAGTGTTTTCACTGACGATGAGTGGACGGCTCCAGTGCACGCTCCTCCGTCGGTGAATTGGGATACGTTTCCTAATCCAGATTCTGAAAGTGCTAAGCAGGGAAGACCGTCTGATAGTTCTGCTGATGTAGAGTTGAGTACTGACATTGGATCTTGGAGCGTTAAACAGCGTTATGGTAAATACACCATAGTGGACTCTGCATTACCTACTGTTCATCATGCCCGACAACCCCCTGTGATTCCCCATCCAGTTGCTCCCCCTCGACCACCAAAACCCCTGCATCTAATAGAAATGCCAAGTCACAATTACCTTAATCTGGAAAATGTTTCTCCAAAACCAATCCAGACTAAACCAAAAACAAGTGCTGTTTCTGCTTCGTCGTCAGTGTCAGAATCGTCAAAAAGATCTGGTGGTGCTCCTGCATCTCCCAACGACTGTGCAAGTGCGTCAGAGTGCGTAGAAGAGCCTCCTTCTCCAGGAGCTGCTGAATTGATAGCAATAGGTAGTAACGATGAAATGTATGACTTTCCTCGGTCCCATCATTGTGCAAACACAGTCACCATTAGCGAGCCAGAAGGCAATAACACGAATTCGAAATTTGGGTCTCTTTCTCGGCATTGTTACAGCAATGCTGCACCAGGACAAGTGAATGGGGATATATTTCGATATGACTTCCAGCATTCTCAAAACAATACCAACATTTTAGTGACGAATGAATTGGAAGAACCAGTTTCTCCTCATTCAGAGGGTTCTGGTTCAATAACATCAACTAACAATGTCATCTACTCAAATCTGCCTAGTCCTCTTTCCATACAAAGTGCATCTGGTGTAATAGAAGGAAACAGTGGTCTACCAACACCTCCAGCAGTGAATCGGGGTCTAAAACCTGGAAGGAAGTTATCAGATTCTACTTCAGTGGTGTCCAGTGAACCATCTCCTGGTGGACCTTTTACATCTACATTGCCCCCAAGTGTGGATAGGAAACTAAAACCCCAGCGTAAATATCTTGAGGCACCGTCAGTAGACTTAGGTGAGTACTTTTGATGCAATTTTATTTATGTATGATTTAAGATTTTTAATAATACATAACATGGTGAATACCACACTCCTGATATGTGATGGCAGAACTTGACGTGTCAAGAAAGTTGATTTTATGTTAGAATGTCAGTGTATTCAGTCACTGACTAAGAACATTGGCAAAACCCAAATAAGGTTCTAAAACTCTTGCAAAAAGTAGGTTAATGTAATAAGATTCTGATATTTTCTTGACAGTGCAATTGTTTATCTCTTGCCAGAAGGAAACAGGACTTTGTGAAAAACCTTTAATGGGATTTACCACATTAGTATAAATAAAAATTATTTTGGTAAACCAGAACACTTTGACACATATCATGATTTTTAAAAGATCAGTTTCCGACACAGTACTAAGACTTATATTTATTGCCTCAAGATTTTAGTTCATTTATTTGTTTAATTTTTTATTCAAAATTATTTATTATTTATTTCAAATTATAGGAATTTTTCTAGAATAATAGAATCATTCTTCGTAACATAAAATTAGGAGAAATTTAGTCATTAAAATTGTAGGCTTGTATACATCAAGGGTCAGAAATGAATAGGTCTTGGCCACAGTATTACTATCCCTTCTCAATTTCATTGCTTTTGAACGCATTGCTGTCTATTATTCTGATGCATGACTCTACAAACTTCCGTGTTCCCATGTTATGAGTTACTTCCATTTGTCACTCCTATTTGTGTGTTTTGCGACAACTTGTCTCTGTATAAGTACTATCAAATAACATGAAGGTACACAAATATTGTCGCTTTTTGCAGTTTGCAGCCCTGTGTTACATTTCCTTTTAATAGAGTTCTTTATCTTTGTCAGTTTGATACAGTATTTTCATGCTGTCACGGAAAATATAGTAGTGTACTCAGTTTCTTAAATGATTTTTTGAGATTTGTTATGAGAGTAATCTATGGGCTGTATCAAGTTTGGACAAGCTTTCACATCAAAGATGATGATGATGATGATGATGATGATGATAATAAAAATAATAGTAACAAAAGTATATCAGAGATATATTATGATATAATTATTAGCAGAAACAATAAATTTTAATTGTTAAAGGAATGTGATCAGAAATCTTCAGACAGATTCCTATTGTGGAGAGAAAACAAGATGTTTTTTGTAAGGTTATTATAATGTGACCATTTACTATATTTCCCCGAAGTGTAAATTGTAGTCTGAGTACTTTAGCTTCAGAGCTTCTATTGTACCAAGGAGGATAAATAATTTCTCTCCCAAGGTGCATATGCTTTTTCTTTTTTTCATGATCATAATAATTTGAGAAAATGTATTTAGAAGATTAAGCTATGGAATTTCAAATTTGTGATTTGTGAATAGTGTATGTTACCAAGGAAAATGTCAGTAAACATTTACGTGTTTAATGAAAGCCATAATTGAACCTAAAAGCCTATCTGATTGTACTAATGAAGCGATTGAAAATTTAATGCCAAAAACAAAAATCAAAGAAAATATATGATGCAGCTTATAGAAAATATAAAGAAATATTAAATATAACTGAGAACATCATGCTGGCATATTTTGGTGAGGAAATGAAGTACAATTCCCGTGTGTTTCACATTGCGTTCTAATACATAAACGACCACACAAGTACTAATTTGTTTTCATTGTCGTAATCTAAACAAGGGAGCCAATATTAAATCACTAGGGACTAAATATTATCTCCTTAGGGAGCTATTGCTTCACGTTAGACCTCATTTGCTAACAATAAAATTTCTTTTTCTCCCTGTCATGGAAAATAGATTCTGTAGTAAATTCTAATGTTATTTTGTCCACCTGTGATTATGAAAACTAGATTCCGCTAATTTTGTATAACAGTCATAGTAAGTAATTTATAGGTTCTATTTTACTATTTATTTATTCTTATGTATATCTGCATTATAACAATTTTAACCAAACATTTCAGGTGGTCCAATACAATTATCATCCCCTCCTGCCTGCAGAGTGGGTACAGATGGCACTCGTAGCCTGCGCAAAACTCGTGCTGCACCCAGTCCTACTCCGCCTTCATCAGTGCCAGCTGTACTTTGGAATGGGCAGAAGCAACGCTCAGACAGAAATTCCAGTTCAGATGAAGATCATCGTATATCTCAAGACGACGAGCAGGTATGTAAAGTGAATGAGTGCTTCTGTAATATTTGCAAAACTCTAATGTAGACTTTTGATTTTTTTGTTTGACAAATTTAAATCTGTTTAATTATTTATCTCAAAGTGACCATATATTATATTAATTAACAAGGAACTATAATTTGTTTTTAAATTGCTCCTAGTTTTCAAGTTATGTAGTGAGATTTATTATCATGTCTATGATATAAAAAGTTATTTAGAAACTGTGATATCTTAATCATGTTTAAACACTAGTTGTTACTAAGAAAATTATTGTATTTATATCATCACAGGCAAAATAAATGGACTTAAATCTCTCTAAAATAAAATGAAATAAGACTTCATAATGAAAGGGTATTTGATGTGTTAAATTATTATTATTATTATTATTATTATTATTATTATTATTATTATTATTATTATTATTATTTTTTCTACAGATCTACTATTACCAGCAAGAGAATCGTTTTATACCAGCTGGCCCTGGCAAACGTTTACAAGAGATTCAATACCTAGACTTGGATTTGGATGCAGATGCCAGTACCTCACTAACAAGCGGTCAGATTCCAAAATCTCCTGAACGTGTGCCTACCTCTGGCACTGTTTACAAAACAGTGGACTTTGTCAAAACACAAGCCTTTAATAGAACACGGCAAAAACTTGAAGAGGAACGAAAGCTGGGACCAGAATTATGACAAGTGTTGAAATGGTACTGACCCAAAAGAAAGCAATAAATAGGACGTTAAACAGACACTACAAGTGCACACAATTGTGAAAACACACTTCAAGTCATTAAATGCCACTGTGACTTCGATCTTGCATTAAATATTCAGTATTTTATTCCTCAAGAAATACCAGCAAATTGCCCAAAGTGAAATTTGTTTGCTGCAGTTGTTTAAACTAATGAATAAGCTTATTTTTCAATTTCAGAGTTACTACTGAACAAATTATTCTGTAAATTCTTTATGGTACATTTTTTTGTGAAATACAAATGCAAGTGAATATTAGGAAGGAGAGAAAGAAAAGCAAATAGTACTTATTTTGTTATTTGTAATCAGAAATATTGTTTTACGAATATATTTCTGTAGAAATATTTTGTATTACTAAAGTAATATGAGAATTACTCTATCATAGAAACAAACAATACACTTGTCTTGCCTACCATTGTTACCTTTCATAGAAATACAAAACTAAATGTGTGCATTTACTATTAAACGCTGTATTGTAGTACCTACATTGTCATACATACTACCGAAAAGATAAGCTTATTCTCGCCATACTAGAAAATCATTGATTTTAGATACTTTGCTCCTGGTGGTAAAATATTGGGTTTAATGCATTTTCTGATAATCAATTCAGGTATGCTTTTGATAACTGGGTAGTGGTGCTATTGAGATAGATGAAAATTTATTTTATACTGAGAATTCAAATTTTTTGTTTTTGATACTCTAGTAACCGAGTGTCTGCATCAATGATTACTTCATAGTTGAGTTTCGTAAAATCTCATACCATCTTAAAAATTGACTGTTCCTTTAGTGTGTAATCCACAGATGCCTTGTCCATGAAAATATAGTTTTAATGCAAAGTAGTTTTTGTGTTTCAACCAGTATGCAGAGTTTGTAGTGCCTCATCAATTTTATTGTAGCTCAGAGGTTCTGCAATATTTTATTCCATCATAGTGCCATGAAGTGCCATTGTTGCTACATTCTTGATGTATACATGTTACATTTTGTAGTGTTAATTTACATTTACATAACTGTGCTATATTTTGTACAAATCAGTTTTATGTTGGTCAGTTTTTATTGCAATTGTTTACCTAACAAGATAAAGATTTTATTGTAAATGAACTGCAGTTTTTATTAATAAACATTCCAATTGTCACATCATTCCTGCTTATGAGTCAGAACACTAATTTCTCAAGAATTAATTTCTGTAAAGAATTAACTAATCATATACATGAATGAGATTCATGAACTCAACCAGTCATGTGTTAATGGCTGAATTAATTTCCTCATGAATGTTTCTAAGAATATCAATTTATTTGCCTCAACAAATGGTAACCATTAGATGAATTTTTCAATAATTTCAATGTTGGATCATCATCATAAGTAAACTCATTAATAAAAAGATGTGGGAGTCAAGTTTCCCCTGTAGTATTTGGGTTGCTGTGTAATTCAGGGATCATATATGGCCCATCAACTTTGTTTCATCTTTCGGGTAAGGATGAAGACATAACAGCTCTTGCCAAATGAGGATTAGTCAAATCGGAATGGATGTTTTTGCTTCCAATGAAGCTGAAGCAGCACTTCCTGGACAGTTAGGTTCCACAGAAGCCTGCACAATCATTTGATGAAGTAACCACTCCTGCTGTTCTCAAAGGAACACATAGCATGATTTTCATTAGTTTTTATGGTATTAAAATCAATAAAATATTTTTTCCCATGCAATAAGTCTGTTCCATATATCTAAAGGTATCAATCATCAATGCAAAGTTTCTCTTGAAAATAAAATGCAAACCTAGTGAATTTGCTATGCAATTTGGGTTTTTGTACTTCCTGAAAGTTGTTTTAAGGAATATGTTCCTTTTATTTACCAATTCAACTTCAAGAATCTGATTTTTGAGATTTTGAAATGCTTTTTTTCAAATTTTAATTTACAATTTACCAATGTTCAGAGAAAAACCCACAAACTACACTACAATCAAATGAAATAGTAATTAAAATTATTTGGGTATTTTGGATAAAGTAGTACACAATATTGCAATGAATGCCACATATAAATGGAAGAACATTATTGAAATGTTAATATCTACATTCAATTTTATGAGTTTCTGAAATATATACTGAAAACGTTACAAAAGTCAGCAAATACTAAGTCACTTTCAAAAAAATTGAATAACGGACTAAGACAAGAATAAGGAGAAAGTAAACCTATAGACTTGACAGATTCAATGAATTCAAAAAGTAATAAAAATGCTTTCAATGCTTGCAAATTCAATTTCAATAAATATTTTACTAGTAAATGAAGTGCTATTTAAGAAATTTTGGAAATTGAAATTTAAGTTTGAAGATGAAATGTAATGATACTACTAATAAATTCTTCCACTAAATGATGAAAATAGAAAGAAGGAAAAAGAAAATATGTCAATCCATCCTGGAAATCTGAATTAATAAAGAGAATGTATTTGTAACTTCAAGGTATAATCTTCACAAACACTAAATGATAATCAGTAGGGAATGAATTTTCATGTAAATACGTATTTTTATAGAAACAAGATACCTTTATTCAATATTTTATAGAGTTTACAAGACATCCTGAATTAATAAAAAAACATTTTTATTTTACTTGTTCTTACATATTTTTACAAACTTTACCTGAAACTATTTTGTTACATATTAATATATTCATGCCTATGCGTAGCTCAATTAAAAACTAACAAATAAATAGGTTATACAGATCATTGCCTTATCATGATGCTGTATTGGGGGTATGTTCTACTCCCCTCCCCTGTTCAGTACCCATCACAGACTACATGGTGCTACTATTCACTTGAGCACCAGTTGGACATAAACATTATCTATACAACAAATGTATTTTATATTTCTCTTATGTGCTGTGCAAACTAGTGTATGGTTGAGCAATCTTTCTGCCGCTCAGAATACACGTTAAGGTCTGATTGATGACCGGTGTTCCTAAAATGCTTGTTTAGAGCACTTTTAAACTCAGTAATAAATTTTTACTATACACATTTTCAATTTCTGTTTTTTGTTTTACATATTTTGAAAAAGTAAATGCATACATGAGCACATATTTTGCTTTTTTTACTACAATAAATTCTGTTCCTTACTTATTGCCAGTTTCAAAGATAAGGTTTCCACCATCATTCAGTTCTTGGTTGAATTCATATTTATTTTAATATATAGATTATTTTGTGTTTTTTCTAAATAGTGAGTCACCACATATTGTTTTATATTGTGTGGGACAATTTCTTTTTTTCTCGCAAATAGGCCAACTTGGACCATGGGTGAATGCACCCTGCATTTACCGGGGCTCAAAAATATTACTTCTCTGGCAGGTGCTTGTAATTTTTACCACGGGATCAGCATTTAGATGGGCCTAAATTTTATTACCCAGGGTTGTTAACCTTGGGGGTATGGAAGATGAAATGATGATGACAGTGAGAGGGTGTGACGACGACACCCACACTCAAGGTGGGGCTTCAACCCATGATCTTCTGGTCTCAGAACTCTACGGCATTACTGCCTTAGCAATCTCAGCCATCAGATGGACTTGAGTTCTACTATTTTATTATATTTTTTATTGTGATTGATTAGGGTTTTAGAGGGCGCTTCAATTACTAAGGTCACTGGCACCCATGTCAAAATATTTTTTTAATTGAATAGATTTAGTAAAAGTGTTGCAAATGGTACTCACTCGCTGATTAAAAAGCTTATACATAATTAAAAATGGAAGCTTAAATTCCGCATAAAATGTACAAGTAGATAAGGCAAAAGGAAAAGATAAACGAATAGTACCTAAAATTGATTTTAAAACAGAACTGACTGAAAAGGGGCCAAGAAACATAAAACATTATCCTGGTCTCTCGAATAACATTATATATTCCACTTTCTCTCAAAACAGAAAAATGTTTCGAGAGAAAGCCCTCACGTGCCAAGAAATAAAAAGTACATGCGAGTTTGAGAAATGGATTCTTGGTTCGACTTTGGCTGAGTAACTTTCTTGGGCTTTTTTAAAATTTTTCTTTATTTGGAGGGAATTATTATATTACCACTTAACAGAGGTGATATCTCTACAGGGAAGTCCACAGGAGACACCTGTCAACAGAAGTAAGCAAGTGAGGAAGTAGCAGGTGAAGTCTGGCAAATCATTGTTGCTCTTACAATCTTTGTCAGAGCACTAGAAAATGAACGCCCGAGATATTCAAGGTTCTTCGCCTGGTATCGGCGATTCGCCTCAGGAAAGGGCACTTTCTCCGCCACTCGGATCTTTTGAATCTCCCTCTTCCTCAGAAAGGTAGGGCACCTGTTAGAATAGCGCATGGTCTTCCGAATTAGCACAGCGAAATGGTGATGCACAGGGATCCGTCTCGGGCGTGGATTTGCCGCGCTTTGGGTCGCCGAGGCTCACCTCGGTTCGTCCAGCAAACATGGCTGGAACGGGTCTACTCACAAGGCACCAGCGTCAACGCGACAGTCGGGAACGCTTGCACATCCCCCTCAACTCCTAGGTCACCTATTCCCTTCGACACGGGGTCGCACGGCAAACAAATGGGTGGGCGTTCAGAATACACAGGCCAGTGAGGACGAATCAGAGGAAAATAATATAATAGGTGACACAAAATGAGAAGCAAGAACGTGAAAAAATGGATGAAGGAATATTTGAGAGATTTCTCTGCATCCCTTCGACAGGACGTGGACCGACGGGCTTCCATCCTTATGAAAGATATATGTTTAATAATATCGCGAACTTCCTTTTCCACTGCGCTGGTGGCCACACATGTGCTGGCTGCCCAGGTGTGTGGCAGCACCGCGTCACAGTTTGTGACCTGGTGGATACTATATTTAAATCGGGCAATTTTTGCTGTCAACACAACTGTGACATGACAACTTTCAACTTCATGGAAGAGAAATGATATACAATTATCTTTTTATGAATTCAAATCTAAATTTATGTGCATATCAAGATTGTCGTACAAGTGAGTAGAATTGTCTAAAGTTTCATGATTCTTTTTCTCGTCTGCATTTGAAAGTCCGGCGATATCTGGTTCAAGTCTCGCACAGCTATTGCGAAAGGGTTCCGATGTGTTTAAAGCTCGCAGCATTAAAGGCCATCGTGCTTAGGTTACACAACCCCCCGAAATTCGTAAATTACTCATTGTAAACAATATTATATCTCTTCGATTTAATGTCATTTAAAATAATCGAATTATTGCAGCAATATCGATGTGGACCGCTGGTACACCAATTTTTGTTCGTTCTGCGCACCACCATTTTGCGTCACGAAAATGCTAGAACTACCGCAGGACAGGGGGCGCACACGCGGCGGCGGCGGCGGCGGAAGCAGGAAACCTCCCTACGACACGAAAGACGCAAGCGGCGACTGGAGCAGCGATGTAGTGGGCGGGAAAGGGCTTTGCCGATCAGGAAGCCGAAAGCTTCGACTGCAGAAGTCTTGAGAGTAGAATGGTGCGAGGAAAAATGTTACTTCTCCAACATGTTCACTGCAATGGACGTAGAAAACTGCCTTACTCCCTTTTCGGGCCACGACGAGTTCTCCATCTCAAAGTAGATAGAAGAATTCGAGGGCATCAGTGCACTTCTGCACTGAAGCGAGTTGCAGAAATGGTAAGCGAATGCTTTGCGGATCGGGCATCACCTCGTGAACAGTTGAAGATTAGGGTGTGCCAAGAGTTGAAGGTGAACGTTAACAGCGCAGTAGATCGCAGCGAGCTCCAGGGGATGAGAAAACCCAGCGTCGAGCAGGCAATGCATCTCTGCCATACAAGCAATCATGTCGATCAGGGGTAGGTCGAGTGTTCTCGTCCAGTACATTGTGGAAGGAGTGCCAGACGAGGTCAATAGTGTTTTTTTTTTTGACGCTCTATCACAGAACTTAGGGGAAAATTCGAGGTATACGACCGGATACAAGTTGAAGAAAGGAGATCCAGGAGAGACGGCCGGTCCGTAGAAGGAAGGCAAAAGTAGTTTTACATGGGGTGTCATGAGTCTAACGACTGTAGCCACAGCGATAAGGGCTCTAAGTGTTTCAAGAGTGAGAAGTTTGGCATATTGTCACCCAATGCACCCACAGCGCAACCCGACCAACTACATTAGTAACTATGGGGTGCGCCAGAAGTGCACATGTCCGATGCATTTCAACCACGGTCGAAGGAGTACAATGTCGTACCCTCCTAGACTCAGGTAGGGATGTAAACCTCTTAAAGGCAGAGATTTGCCAAAATGGGCAACCGGCCCTTCCAGGGGACTGAAAATCTTCAAGGGGTTTGCTACAACCAGGACTTTGCGGTTTTGAAGACAGAATTAGAAGTGTTAGTGGCGCCATCAGAAGTGATGACCCAGACTTCATTTTGGGTGATGCTTTCCTAAGAGGGGTGGTGTGATGAGTCGGGAACGAGTCTAGCGCCTTAGGCTTGTATACAGGAGACAATTGGGGAAGAATTGGTCGGTCCCCCAGCCGGTTTCGCGGAGTTGCCTGGAAGACGAGCTGCTGGGCGCTCGCCCTTACCTGCGCGAGGTGGCTTCTCTAGAGGATAGTTATTCTTCCAGGGGCAGATATGAAGACCAGCGACCCTGATTGCTCTGCGCGATGAGATTCCGGTGAACATTCAGTCTCGCCGCCTAAAGAGACGGTCTGGTCAATCAAATCCGAGAAGAGCATTGTGAGGCCCAGCAGGAGCAATTACGCCAGCCCCGTGATAATTGTGAAGGATGGATCGCCTATAATCTGTCGGTTATAGAGCGGTTAGCAGAAAAGAGGCAAATTCCTCACGCCCCTCATTGATAACAAAATCGACGTCCTGGTGAACGATCAGGTATTGTCAGTGCTAGGCCTGAAGAGCGATTTTTTTCATGTACAACCTCCCTTCCCTTCTTTGCCCCTTTCTTCATGTATCAGTGACTGAAGCATCAAAGACGTTCACAGCATTTGTTGTGCCATGGCCAGTACGAATTCAACTACACACCGTCGGCTTGTGCAACAACCTCCCTTCATTTCAGCGCCCCTTTTTTCATGTACCAGTGGCTGAAGCATCCAACAAGTTCAGAGCATTCATTGTGCCGATGCCAGTACTAATCCAACTACACACCATTTGGCTTGGGCAACAACACCCCTTCCTTTCTGTGTCTTATCGATGTGGTATTCAGGCATCTCATGAGACGTAATGAAATTCAGATGTACGTAGATATAATTCCCTGAATTTATTGTATCCTTTCTTTTTTTATTTCCAATATCTTTTGGAATATCTGCTGACAAAAATAAAAATTTTCAAAACAAGCTTTATTGGCTAATGTTTTTTAACAATCTTTACTATATGTAGCACCTCAACCATTACTTTCATAGCAATTACATCATAGAAGTTGTAGAGAATTAAATTTGCCTTAAAATGAGTAGTTGTTTTCTACTTTGCCTTCAAATGAAAAAAAAGATAATTACAAAATTTTAAATCTTGGGATAGTTTTATTACATTTTTGCATGTCTTGCAGCACATTGCGATGCTAGATTTGTTTTTATGTGCATATTACAAAAACGTTTCTTTTGTAATTAACAATGTAAATAATGTTCTTAAATTCAATTATCATAGTCAATATGATAAAATTAATAAGAATAGAATGTTTAAACACACACAAGTACAAGAACAGTATGTATGTTTGCTTATGCACAAAAAGGTCTAAATAATACTTTAACATCAGAAACAACATGCTAACATTATTAACACACGCACACACACATGCATAAAAGTCAATCAACAACAATATTTTACATATTATTACAATTCAATATTTTTATATTTTTCTTCATTATCTCTTCTTATACCAACAAGGACTTAAAGATACATTTGGAAGTTTTTCTGCTTTTTTAACATCTGAAACTTTTTTGAAGTTCAAAAAGTAAAATAAGTCATTAGAAAGGTCCTTCTGTATTAAAGAAAACTTGTATTTCCCCATATCTTTAACGAATGTTTCTATGCTTGTAAAGCGACTTGCAACCTCTGCTATTTTTAGAGTGCCCCTGCAAAAAAAGAAATAAATTTTAATGAAGACAACAAAACAACTATTTACAAATTAACACTTCAAAGATCGGACGATCTTCCATTCTAGAGTGACTGAGTTGTCACTATGTTGTAAAAACATTATTTAATAAATTGCAAGAAATAAATATTTTAAATATGATAAGGCCATACTTACGACAATAATTAAAAATCAACAACCATAAACCTATTAGTTTCTTATCTCTCTCATCATCTGGAGAATGATTTCTCAAATATATAAACTTGAGTTATTTATCAAATAAACTTTAGAGAAACTACCAATATCAATTTAGAATACACAGAAATAGCAGGTTTCATCTCTCTCTTTAAGAATAATTGAAGAAATGACAATATCTTTATAATTAGTTTATGGAGATTTTGGTGAGTTTGCCCAATAGAAATTACTATATAGTAAATTCAAATTTTGTTTTAAATTTCCTCAGATGTCAAAAAACCCATTTCTCTACAACTATAATAAGAGATGATACTGCACAATGCTATCCGCAAGTAAAGTAATGTTGGTCACTTTTTAATATCCATTAAAAGTCTGTTGGTACGACAACTGCCCTGTTACAGTGAACAAAGTCCTCCACACATGGAAATAAACAAAGTATTGATTTCTGAGCAATTGATTTGTTTGCCTATTGTCATTTCCCTCTCAACAATATTTGAATTCTTTGATTAAAAATTTTAGTAATTTCTTGGACAAATTATTTGCATAAGCAGACATTACAACATGGAATCGAATTTCAGTTTTCATGTGTACAGATGCTAATTTTTCCATAAGCATTGTGCTTGAAGTAACTGATGTGCTGTCGGTATGATTAAATGTCTACGTTTGAGAAAACATTTTGCATAATGTATATTCAAATATTAAGTGTTTATAATTATTATTTCAATACTAAAAATCAATCAATCTCCTATCTGTATTTCAGCCATTAACATTATAATTTGCAATAGTAAGTTAAGTCGGACTACATTCTTAATAATGAAATAAGGCTGATTATCATCAGAACAAGTTTTGCATCAGCGAGCATTAATATTAAATAGAACTAGCGTGAAGCTTCCTACAGCATCAGTATGAGTGTGCAAATCAAACATTAGTGCACCATCATAGATAAATTTCCATTATTATTGAAAATGGTTAAGGGACAGTCAAAGACAGACATTGAATGCTTGGATGATACAGACCCTTTGAATTATTTCCAAGCATTTACATTAAATGAAGTGAAAAAATCAATTTTAAGTCTTCGAAACATTTAGGTGGTGAGCACCATCAAGACAAAACTTAGCAACTAGCAAATGGAAATATGAAGAAATGAAAAAAGGTATAAATTGCAACAAAAATATGTTTTCATAGTTTGTCAAATGAGAAAAAAATTGGTAAAATTATCTCTTCAACACTTCAAGTTATTCTTTCAATGTATTGATTTCACATGGCCATTTCCTGAATGAAAATTACTTACAAATACCATTAGAATATTTCAATTATCTTTTTAAAATTTATTTCTTAATTTTCCTCTTTTCACCAAGTATTGGAGTAATCTCAAATATTTGATCAACAATTTTTTGTTTTAAAATCTTTCTTTGGTTGTAAAATCTGCCTTAATTTCACACTAGTGTTGGAATTAAGGTCTGTTAGTGTTGTTCCAAAGTGGTGCAGGAGGTGAGCACATACATGAAAGTTTGAACCCTAAAATCAGAACGTCAGTAGGAATGTTTTGATGTGTCACAATCCCAAATTGGTTCAATTAAAAGATTTTCGGCTCTCCTTCCAACTTGTGACTTTGAAGTGGCACTATGTTTAAAACTAAGTATACCGATGGCCGGGATCTTCCACCTTTTGTTGGGGCATCCTCTCCTAGTCAGGCAGTCTCCAGGGTTTCCAAGCTACAAGTTATACTTATTACAAGTGTATGGTCTTTTTCATAGGTGCTGGAGCATTTGAAGTGAAACAATGTTACTTGTTCTCATTGTATTTCTGTATGTGAATATTGTACGAAGGATTCCACGACCCACATCTCAGTCAAATAACCTGGCTGAACTATTATAGGGTTCTGGCTAGTCTATAATCCCACCTCACCAGTTCACTTTCAATTTATTCACATACAAAGCCAATCTGATTTGCTAGACAGTCCATAGGCTTTTTGGTCCTCCAGTGTGATAAATGTGTAAACTGTTTGAGTTACTTTTGAGATAAACTTTTTTATGCCATGTTTGTGCTGTCTCCATTTTATTTCTCTTTTTAAGTGATTACTTTTAAAAAAAATAAGGTTAGCAAAAAAAAAAAAAAAAAGGATAACACAGTTTTTAAATAATGACAAGAGTAAAGAAATGAATGTAATTTAGAATACCATAGTAATAGTAATAATAATAATTATTATTATTATAATTATAACATTAATTCTTCCTTCATTATCGTCATTGTCATCATCATCATCATCATCATCATCATCATCATCATCATCATCATCATCATCATCAATATCATCATCATTCCATATCCCATCCCCCCAGGACTAGTAACCCTGGGGGGGGATATAAACTGGATTCAGCAAAAGAATGCTGATCCCCCCAAAAAGGAGTTATATACACTTGCTGTGGGGAAAAATAACGTAACTCAGCCTCGGAAAATGTAAATGTATGTCCGCATCGTTCCAGGTGGACAATTCGCAATGACAAAACAAAACAAAAATAAAAAACTTTGGAGATCTATTAAGAAGAAAAATAAATTATAAAGAGAAATAGTATCAGTAGTATTAAACAAATGGTACCAATAATCTTATTTTCTCTATCAACCTCTAAACATCATTGATGTTTCATCAGCCAGATTTGCAGACTTCAATGTCGAAAAGCTCAACAAAATGGTATAATAATATAGTACAAACAAAACTAGAAAACCTATGAAATGGTCATAAGATATAAATTAAAATTTATTTTCAAGAACGAAAATTCAAAAAATAAGTTATCAAACATCATCATCATCATATAACATGATTATGAATATTTAGAATGCTACAACAAGAGTTCAGAAGACAAAATCTCAGATGTATAGGGTATAGGTTATTAACGCAAATCTAAATCTTTTCTTTTTGTGTTTATTTCATTCTGTATTTTACATTTTGTACCTATATTATTAATTACTAGTGACCTGCAGCAGAAAAAATTCTGCTGTTCAAAACCACAACAAATAATTTTTTGAAAATTAGCACATACACACTGATCAAGAATAACAAATAACATACTCTCATAAAACACTGCAACAAACTAAATATTCTAATAAAAAATGTCTTCACGAATATTGCAATAACATAACACATAGTGCTAATACTACCATTACTACTTATTCTTATCCATTTATTTAGAGATGTGGGTGTTCACAGATGTTTCACAGTGTATTATTATACTTTTATTATGAACACATGTATGTAGAGCATTTCTTAAAATGAAAATAAAATTAATAAACTTAAGTTTTTATTTGCTGGTGATCAATTTGGACAGGCTTAATGTTCCAATACATTTGAACCTTCTGCAAATAACATTAATTTTCAAATTAAGGCATGAATAAAATTTCCATTGGAACAACTGAAACCAAGCAGTTATAGACTAAAAGCAGAGGAGACCATCCTTGGAAAATACAATGTAGAAAGCAAAGAACTGATGTAGGCAAGTTCTCCTTTGTGAATCGCACTATAGTAGATTGGAACAAACTACCTGCAGAAGCACTAGAGGCTCTTCCTTCTAATGTAGCCAAATTTAAAAATATGCTTCATTCCATCTAGATTAGCTCAAATAATACTGACTGAGACATTTATCTTTATTATTATTCCTTTTATTATTATTACTATTACTTCTATTATTATTATTATATTATTACTGACAAATTTATCATCATTATTAACACTGTCATTAGCTTTGGGGAAATTTTTAAGTCATTATTATTTCTTATATTGTTATTGTTATAATTATTATCGTCATGTCCCTTATACAGTGAAGTGAAATGAAGTGAAGTGAAGTGTAGTGTAGTGTAGTGAAGGGGAGTGCAGTGTAGTGAAGTGTTATGTAAACTAGAAGTGAATTTAGAGTTAGCTAGAAAGAAATTGAAACTATGATATCGACCCCTAATTCTAATAGTAAACCTAATTGTAAATGTTGAAAATGTTTTGTAATTCTAATTCTAATTGTTATCATGTTTGCCACCGAGCATTAGCTCAAAGCGAACTTTAATAAATCTATCTATCTATCAAGTAACTGACTATTCATTGTGATCAATACATAACCATGCTAGAATATTAATATACAATTCCCTTATTTGTGACAATGCATGTATAGAAAAAACATGATTTTAAATGTAATTATAAGATTTAAAATGTAACTATAGGTTTTCAAATAGTTTCATTAGCAACTTTTTGAAACCTAGTTTGTGCTCATCATCACACTGTAATGGTTTCATTTAAGGGAAAATTGAATGTCCTATCCTGGCAATGTTAAATGTTTTAGTCAATCTCAGAACCTATTTAGGTTAGGCATATGAAATATTTACAGATTACAGATAAGTCACGCAGATACACAACACTGAAATAACGGTTTTGAAAAATAATTTCTATTTTGGTAGATAAAAATACTTTCTGATAATACAATTCTTTTTACCATGTTTTCTAGAAAGTAAAGTTTCATGGAAGGGATAATACTAAAGTAATTAGAAAAAAATTGGTTCAGTAAATGTAGGAGACCTCTATTACCATATGAAAATTTCAGAATCCTACTACAAATGTAAACTGAGAAAAGTACAATTTAGTATAAAAATATCAACTTTTGGGAAAAGGGCTTTAAAGATGCAGCCCTTGGAACACACCCACTTGATAACTTGCTGCTTCAGAATAATAATTTTTCAATAATTACTTCCTTTTGAGACTTGTTTGTGTTGTTAGCTTCACAACATAAAATTTTCAATATACTTTCTTTAAAAAAAATTAGTAAGAACGATATCAACATATTTCAAATGCCAATTTAAAGAGAAAATAATGAAGATTTATGAAAAATAAAATTCCAAAAAATAATTTTTTGACCGCAAAATGATTCCATTTCCCTTTAAGATATTTAAATAAATTACATATTCATTCATGCTATTACATATATTCTAAATTTGAAGAAAGTACAAAATCAAAGCTCACTTTATTCTTCTGCATATAACTTTGTCATTGTTTCCATGACATGTTATGCAGGGAACATGACATGATACCATTTCCCCACGTTTAAATCATCATTACTTTAAATATACTTTGAAAATGTCTACAACAGTTCTGTGTGTTTATTTTAGAGTTTATTGTATATTTGTGTACATTGTTGCAGCACCAAGTAATAGCTGGACTTGGAATAAAGCTCAAAATTATCATTTTTTAAAAAGTTTTCTAATCCTTTGATTATGGACTAAGAAAAAATGATTGTTTTTAGCAGTTTAAAAGAAACCATTGACACAAAATCTTGTGTGATACTGGTGGATTGAGGATTACCCAGTCCTACATCAAACAGATTTCAGAATAAAAAATAAAAGTTTGCAGATTATGACAGATAAAAACAAAACATTTTTGCAATACACATTATGATCACGAATAACTCAGAAGTGATGTGTCCTATGCCTTTTAAACTTGGTTTGCGTGTCCTATGGGGACACAAATTTGTTAATGCAGGTGAATTCTGATAGAAGACGGGTTTTGGGAAATGGGTAGATAATAAATGAGGAAATGATGAGGAACAGTTTGGTGATGGTGAAGGATAGATGGGGGATAGCGGGGAAATGAAAAGAGACAGGTTGGTCCTGGATGGTTTAGTAAAAAGTGATGATTATACTTATGTGTTAAATACATATAATTTGTTGCAAATTGATCACTTATGAAGTATAATGTAATATTCCCAATGCTCCAAACCTAACAAAATAAAGAAAGAGTGGGGGAAAAAGTAATTATATATTGATTCTGCAATGCAATTTATTCTCAATATCTGTCCCTTTGAATACTGCGGGTCGAGTTGAAACCCTTGGGTACAGAAGTTGGCAGTACTGGCAGACAGTTGTGAACAACACCATATAGGAGATTCAGTGCAGCCTGTTAGACTGTCCCAAGAGTAAATAGTACACAATTCTACTATAATTGGCTAACAGGCAAAACTACAGTACAATAATTCACTCTGGATTAATAACATTTAAATATAAAAACAAATTACAGTTGAGAAAACTTGTGGCCTAAACATTAGGATTAACAAATAAACGAAAGAAATGAAAATTTGAAAATGGAGACACTGCCAACTTTTTGAAAAATCATTTGTAATTATAGATTACAAATAGCAAAAATTGGAGAAGGAAGAAGAAAAATATGCTGCATTCAATTTAAATAAGGTCTTAAGAAATATAACTAAACTTACCCATCTTTCAGAATGCGATTGGCCTCCAGCAAGTAACTGTTTAAATTTGTGCCCATCAGCGATAAGCAAAACACACATATATCCACACAACCAGATTCTAATGGTGTATGGGCCATGTCACACACCGTGACTTCATCTGATAAGGCCACTAAATCAAATGAATGGACTTTATTAGGAACAGACTTGGCTAATTTGGCATCACCACAGCCAAAGTCTGCTACTACAAGATTGGCAGGCCTGGAATGAAGAATTTTAAAAATTACAAAATTGTACTCATTTATAACTAAAAAAAACAGTATTTGGTTAAAAAATAATATGAGCAGAATACCAAATTATATTATTAATATTAACAACAGAAGCATAAAGAAAGAGGAGATAACATAAACATCTCTTCCATTTAGAGAAAAATTCAAGGAAAATACTATCATCATAATACAGCTAATACAGGGGTGACCATATTATTAATCTAAACATTTCTTTCTTGACGTAATGGATTAAAATTTGATTTGTGAAGCGCCTGGAAAAGTAATGTTTTTAAGCTTGTTGTCTGTTCTTGTTACTGGAAATATATAGTACCTAATTAATAGTAAAATGATGCCCAATCAATAACAAGAGGCCATTACAAGGTATTGGTCCCTCAAGTAAATGAGTAGTTTGGAGAAAATTCATGCATATTCATGCAAGACACCACAACAGGAGAGAAAGATGGAAAATGTATTTTATGATATTGAGGAGGTTGTGCTGCAAATAGCCCTGACATGAATTCTACAGATAATTTTAGTTACAAAATCTGAAGGAATGGAAGACCATAAGAAACTAGCTCACAGAACATATCATTCACATCTGGCAAAGTGACACTGAAATTGAAAGAAGAATGAAAAATTGATTTTCGGCATGCTTCACAGAATAAATCTACTAATTATGAATTAGAGCATGTTTCTAAAACATTAGAAAAATGTACACTCAGTATATTGTCTCGTTGGGTGCAAAAACTTTTAGTCTCATTTAATAATTATGGTCTAACAATTTGACCTCTTCTCTATGTCTATAAATCATATTCAATTTATAATCCATTTTCTTATTCATATACATATAAATATACAGAGTAATCTATGTAGCATAAGAGAGAGTTATGTATCGCTTGCAAAAAAAACAAACAACAAAACACATCAATTCGATTTTTACAGAAAAACATGTTTCAGGGTACCCTGGTACTGAAAAAGTGTCTGTGAACTGTTCACAAGATTTTCACCAAATTTGATACCCCAAGATCGTTCTGTCCCCACTCGAGGCCCTCCAGATTTGACACTAATCTTTTGTATTTTGGAGGTACTTCCCATGAAGCATCTGGGAGATTTTCAAACATTTCTTGAAAGTTGCTCCAAATTTTTTTATTAAATTTTTGGTTATAAAGGGCTGAAGGACACTTGTAATGATGACACGGGTCCAGTTTTCACGTCCAACTCTGAATTTTACAAAATTGTAACACTTTCAAATTTTTTGGACCCTCTTGTACAACTATATTATTAAAATTGTAGATTTTTCTTATCATGAGTAATTTCACTAGTGGTTTGAAACTCATCAATAAGTTTGCAAGTCGCATAGCAATGAGCAGAGTTATCTGAGAAGTTTCGAACCACGAGTGGAATTTGGTAAGACTATTTCGTGAATAAGTCATAAATTGATTAAATACTAAGATCATAATGTTAAAAATAGCAAACATATTTCTTGGTGGGTTGTTTCAGATGCTATGTTGATTACTCTAGTTTCTGATGTGGAAGGAATATCTAATTATTTATTTTCCAAAAGAGTTGAATGTCATATGCAGTACGATAGCGAAAAGTACACATGTGAACTTTTCAAGTTTAGATGCGCGTGATTGGTATAAAACTGATCTTATTATAAAATGCAATTGGCTGGATTAAAATAATAACTAATAAGTGGAATAATCAACGAAATCTCTTCTTCATAATTAGAACTTCAATTAATGTCAAGTACATTTTTTGGAAACATTAATATATTTCATACAATTTCGTTTGAAATATGCACAATTTTTAAAATTGGATTTACTCCAAAATAGATCCAAATTTTTCTTTAGTACATTTTACACTTTTTTGTACTTTTAGTACAAATAAAGTTAAATGCTCTGCATTACATCACAAACACCATTTTGATGTAACCTTTTTATTTTTTTTTTTTAAATATACCAACATACTTTTTTGAAATGACTCTCATATTGTTAATACTTGTATGCAAATGTTTTTCATAATTTATTGCATTTGGGGGTTTAAGTGCTTCAAGTGATTTCTTATAAGATAAAAGATATGGGTGTTGAAATGACCTTTGAAGTAGCAGGAACAATTATAATCACAAGAACAATGACAGCAAGTCATTAGTGTCTACAGAGCCCCTAATTCTAATGTAAGATACTTTCTGCTTCAATTTGAAGAGCTGCTATCTAATCTCCTAAGAAACCACAATATTAGGCTTATTATTCTGGAAGATCTATATATTAACGCTGACCATAAGGAACTAAATGATATCCTAAAAAAGTTTGAAACTCCATGATACAGCATTAAGATCAACACATGTAATGATCCATTCCAGCTCAACCATAGACCACATCATTACAAATATTGAAATAATTAATTGTTCCCTTAATTTTGAACAAATGATACGAATGAAAGTAACACAGTTACTCAATGATTGTCTCTTTACATTTCCTAAAGAAATATTAGTTCTTAAAAATTATAGGAAACGTGTATGACTGTATGTCCATACAATGCATAGGTAAGACATGAAGAAATACTAAGAATGAATATTATCATGAAATATACAAAAAGTATAAAAAATTTTAAGGGCTTGAATTGAGTAACTATAAAGCAAATCAATTAAATACCAAATAAATACATCAAAACACCACACTAAAACATTATGGAACAATTAATAATGTAAAAACTCAGCCCCACCAAACATTTCACCTTCTACATGAAGGTTTTATCCTTGATAATCATTCTTGTATTTGTAAGTCCTTTAATAATCACTCCCTCAACTCAAAACCTCATGTTGCAGGTAACAATAGTACTAACAACCCTTTCCTTCTACTAGAATTCTGTTTATTCAATACACTAATGCTAGTGAAGTTACTCACTAGATAAGTTCTTTCAAAATTAATTACTCATCAGGATTAGATGAAATACATTCTATCATTCTTAAAAAAATGTAAGCCTGCTGTACTTAATATTTTAGTTTAATAAATTAATTTCTATCTGCATTCACATTTCCAGACTCCCTAAAATCATTTGAATGAATTAAAATTCAATGATGGTCAAGTTGAGCAGGGTGGGAACAAAACCAAAAAGCTAGCTCAGATTCAAGAAAATGGGAAACTAACTAGTACAAGAAAGTCTGTGCCAATCTACTCCAACACACATTAAAACTGCAGAAGTTATAGAAGCCTGCTAGTATTAGAAAAACATAAGTGAGGAGCCACAAGGCAGACAAATCTCAATCGCTCATTCCCTGAAATATTTTATCGATAAAATTCTGCATGTGCGTTGCACAAGAAACCTCAGTGAGAAGTTTCTTGTTCAGAGATAAAGTGCATTGCTTTACCTGCTGGGCTACATGTCTTCCTTGACTGTGAGCGTTTCAGTACAGTACTTCACTTCAATGTTCTGAGAGTAGTTTTGTTTCATTTCAACTTTTAAAAATAATTTAGGTTTTGAGTTATTCTGGGAACAGATTTTTATGGCATTTAAAGTTTTCACTAAGAAATACTGTATCTATTTGAGTGTCACCACTACAATTAACTCCTGTTTTAGTGCTGCTTTCTACCCAAGTGCTCCACCATAGCTAGTAGATAATATGCAATACAGTTGAATTTATAGAGTGAAATAATTTATAAAAAAGTCCTATTGTCGTGCAATACAATGTACTGAGAGAGATGGTTCACGGCATCAACTAATGACACTAAAGAGCCTCTGGCTGGAAGGTCCTAGGTTTGAGTCCTGGCAGTGGCAGGATTTTCTACACTGCTAGCTAGCTATTAATAGTTAGATAGGTGGGTCAAGTTAAGTCGCCATCTGGAGGAGAAATCTTGCAGCCAGCTGCTCTTATCGGTAGTTTTCTGTGGTTTCTCTGATCAATACCAGGTGAATGCTGGAAAAGTACCCTAATAAACAGGCCATGGACCACATACAATCTTTCCTTCCCCTTCCTTGTCCTTTTATCACCCCCTTAAAACCACTACACTAACACTCATGCTGGGAGACCAGCTGGAAGCTTAAAGAGCTTGTCCTGGCTAGTGCACCGCTTCACTGGTGGGAGAAACCTGGTTGAGGAAATACCCACTAGCCAACAGGTAGGTTGGCACCAATCTCACCACCCGGTGGAGACAGATCCTCTCTGGAGGAGAAAATATGCACTACACTTATGCAACTAATGACGTTAGCGGTCGATGTGCCCGGAATCACTAATAAATTACTCAATCAAATAATGTGACTTTCAATTCAATCTACTTCTTCAGGAGCGATGAAATTTAATATTTACTAGAAAAAAGTATTTCCTTACTTCCGCTGTATAGCTTTAATGATTTTTTCCACTGGATTTTCAGGCCATTGCTCTACTTGTTGTTGGAATCCTTCGTGGTAAACTTTAAACAAATTAGGATCCTGTTTGAACATTTCTTCTGCATTTTTGCTGTCTGATGTATACAGTTGTTCATTAATATACCTGAAAATTTAAAAGTTAAATAAATGGGACAGAAAGACAAAACAAAGATTGGCAATGATACTAGAATTAAAAATCCATAACTTTCTTGGGTGTTTTTCAAACAAGGTATTACATTCAATCAAACCAAATAAATATAAATGATTTCAACACAAATGTCTCAAATAAGATTCTACTCAATTAGCTTCAGTAAATGAAAATCTACTCCAAAATTTACAGCCGGTAAGCTTTCTGACATCCAATGTTACTTTCAGTAAACTTGAATTACTTGTATCAACCATTTGTCTAGCTAAACTTCGAAGATACAAGTTTGATATCAAACCAAGTGTAGGCACTGATTTATAATACCAACCTAGCTAATTCAATTTGCAAACTGTAATAAAAATATGACTAAATGAATATTGAAATAAATATCTTGGCAAATATATATTTTGGCACAAATACGAAAATTTACATGCATTTATACAAATATAACAAACCAATTTTTCTATTAATTTTACAATCCACTTTTGATGCTACTGAAACTATACAAATACAGAAATAAAAATATATTTTACCGAAATCGAGATGATTTTAACTGCATCAGCATTCTCTCTCGAAGAGAGAGTGATGAATCAAAAAATTTGTTTTTCAATTGAAAAGGAGATTTCATTTCTCCATTTTCATTATTTGAAGTATTATTTACAACTTTATTTGCCTGCTTATTGAATTTCTTGTGGTTAAGAAATTCTTTTTTGTTTATCACTTGCTTTTCTGAAGATGTGTGCAATTCTTGTTTGGAACCATCATTACCAAATTTTTTCTTTTTTACTGATGGGCCATTATTGTGAATGTCTGAGAGATGATCTGAATTCCTCTTTCTATTTTTCACTTTTGAGTTTTGTTGATGAAATGAAACATCATCAGAATGATTCTGGGGTTGAAAATTACCCTTTTGGTTTTTTCTATCTTTGGATCTTTTTTTTAAAGATTTAAAATCATTTATCTTCGTCTTTTGCTCTTTCTGGTTTTTACTAATTTGCAACTCTCTTTTCTTGTGGTTCTTTTGGCTAGAGAAACTTTCTTCAGATCTGATAAAATCACTCTTACCATGTTTAAAATTCTTCAACTTTTGTTTTTTACCAAATGGCTTTTTATCAAACTTCTTATTACTTTCTTTATGATTTTGGAAATGTCTAACATTTACATTTTCTGCAACTTCCTTTCCCTTTTTAAAACCTTTCCGAGCCAAAGAGTTATTTTGTTTATTTTTCAATTGTACTTGTCTGCTAGCCTTTTTTAATGTCAGCTGTTTACCAGAGCCAGGTTGTCTGCCAACTGTATCACAACTGGCATTTGATTTCTTGTGTTTCCTCTTGCTTTGAGGCACTTTCTGACCCTGGAATTAATTCATAAAAAATATTACTTATAAGAATAAAATATCAATTTGAAGTTCAATCTTATAAATGATCTATCAGGCAAAACTTAACATCATCTAACCGAATACGTGTTCTTACGAAACACATAACTAATAACTATTAGCTTTTCTGAGGTTATGTTTCATTACTCAAGTACATATCATACCCTGGAGAAATTGTCGCACAAAGTATTCGCCTTTCTGTCAACATCCCATGACGGAGCAGTAAACTTACTCATTCTAAAAACAATCTAATATCGAAATTATACAAAAACTTTTGATACGTTCTTCATACACACTACTACACCATGCATCCCACATGGATCCTATGCAACACACACGCCAACGCCATCTGGGGAATATCTAGGGAACTGCAGCATATTCTCCGATTTATGTAGAGTGACATCTGAAGTTTGAAAAGCTGTTACAGTCACCCAATCGAGAGCTTTAATGCCAAACATAACGAAGCTCCTGATTATATTACTTCCCCGGGTGTTTACAGGTCGGAAGTCACTCTAGTTTAATTTGAGTGTATGTGGTATTGCTCCGATCTTTCAAAAAACTGTTCTGACCACCTGTGGAAGAAAAATAATCAAAAGTGGAAAGAGATTATTTCCATCTGTCTAAATCATTCTGGCTTAAACCACCGCATGAAAGGCGATGGTTTAGTGAAAATCTACATCACTGGCTTTCGATTGTGTTAGTAGTAACACCTGTCACTGGGTTCACAAAATTAAGCGAAAGATTCACAGTCATGTGAATAAAAATGTTGGGTTAGACCTTGGTATCCACTCCACATATCGTAGATAACAGTTTTTCGAGGTTGCACTGGTTGTTGAATCATGGACAACAACGTATTAGAATCCCTTCGATTTCCAGGTGAAATCTGGAATCTCGCTTCTTTGAATCGCGATCAATGATGTCAAGCACCCGTTTGAGTTCCAGGATCCCTTCCCGTCATTTTAACTATAAATAGTTGAATGATGAGTAAAAGTTTAACATAAATAAATAAAATAAATTTTAAAAATCGCAAGATTAGCAATATTTGAAAAATAGTCATTTTCGTTCCTGAGTTGTAGGAAATTTATTTGCATCGATACACGAATTGCAAGTTTTTCCGCATTGCTAACAAAATAGCAATTCGTCCTTACCTCTACTCTTACCATTACAAGCAATAGGAGAGTTCAACAAAACGTGTGCATAGTGAAGCTACATTTACGTCCAGAAGCAAAACAAGGGGCCATCCCAGCATTAGCTCAATGGATCAGGGAAATTGGACAAAAACCTGATCGATATGGGGGTCATTGACCCGAAAGCTGAAGTACATTATTTGTTACAAACATATTAAGTCTTTAAAATAAAATTATACAATACAAATGTAAACTAAATCATTACATATCACTGTTTTGTTAAAATAAACATTATTTTTCTTTTTGATAATCAGTATAGTCTCTAATTGTATAGAAACAGTTATGCAGCAGAAAATATTTTACTTTTAACTTAAATTTGTGAACAAACTTTAATTGTTTAATGTCATTTGGCAGTGCGTTGTAATGCAATGTGGATTTCTGGTAGTGAGCTGTTGATACTGACACTTGATGAACGTGATTTTTACGACGTGTGTTGTAATTATAAATATCAGTATTGCATGAAAATATGTTCCCGCCGTTAAGTCTCTTTTAACAAATATTACAGATTTGTAAATATATAGGCAATGCAGTGGTAAGATTCCAAGATCAATGAAGAGAGGCTTGCAAGGGTAACGCGGATGGCATTTTTTCATTATTCGAATAATTTTCATTTGCAATATAAAGGCCTGAGTACTATATGATGAGTTTCCCCAGAATTGTATACCATATCTCAGGCGGGAATGTACATTTGCAAAATACACGCAACGAGCTGCATGAAGGCTGACAGAATTTGATAGAATTCTGAATGCATAACATAATGAAGTTAATTTAGTGTTTAATTTTGTTTCACTCAATTTCTTTGGCAGAGTTAGGTCCGCCAATTCTCGATGCTTACAAATATCTTCTGCCCCTAGCATCCACGTACATCACGCAGAAATGATTGCCACTCCGCAACAGTCTTGCGCGACAATCTTTTCTCTTCGTCGAAACACTAGATCGCAGTACCCTCGTAGGAATATTCATATGTGAAGCAATACATTATTCGAAAAGTTTGCCTCACAGTTAATTTCACATGTGCAAAAATCGTACTTCTTATTGCCGCAATTTTTTCAACATTGGATGATTTTTTTGGTTCGAGAAGTCACCAAATCCCTTTCATCTGTTTCCAATAGCGGTTAATAATACCTCACAATCCGGACATGGGATTTGTGTGGGAGCGAGTCGAGGTTCACGACACTACTGCACACTGGCTGGTTCATTTCCGATAATATTTAATAAACTTATCCAGTTCCATTTACTTATTCAGCCTTATTTACATTGGCCTCTTTGAGCTTGCTTTAGTTAACATCAATTCTTTTTATTTTAATAAAAAGTTCTATATTTGTCTTATTTAGACTTCTTTTTACTTTCTCTCTCTTGAAAAAGTAACTACCTAAGAAGGGAGTGTTTTGTAATGCTGTGCGAACAAACGGCAAATTGTCAGCAGCAAAACTCTTATTACAGGGCCCTGGGAACGAAGCAGAGGATAAAACCTGTTGCTAAATTTAGAAACAAAATCCTCCAACACGTGGTGTAGAGATCCCTGTTTTGTGGGTCCTTCATACAGAGAAGTCTATTGACGGCAAAACGTCCGTCTGTGAACAACGCTAGCAGCTAAACCGTTCAGCCAATTTTCTCCAAAATTGATATTCCGTAAACGATCTGGCTGATGTCTTGGCCCCTTGAATTGGAAATTGATATATTAATTTTGAGCGGGTACTTTACATGAAACCCCTGAGACATTTTCAAAATGTTTAAAAAAGTGGCAGCGTTGATTTTGACTAATTTTTTTGGGTGATAGTGTGGAGGAAGTTTAAGAGAACGGCGCTGGTCTCATGTTGGGTAAAAACACTAATTTTTCAAAAAATTAAAAAATTCAAAATTTTCTTCGGCGTCTTCCTACAACTAAAATATTAAAGATAGATTTTTTTCCTCAGTAAAATATGTTCCTTATAGATATATTTTAAAATTAGGTCATGTAGAAGTTTTCGAAAATATAAGTATTTTGCGCCTTATTTGCGTGAAATATAGCCCATTTGTAATTTGTGTTTAAACAATTTTTTTCTCAAAAACGATTGCATCGTTTTCGATGAATTGTGTTGGTGGATAATTTGAAGGACATTTAAGAGAATGATGTAGGTCTCTTGTTGGTGAAAACCTCTGACTTTTCGAAAATTGAAAAAAAAAAATCATAATTTTTTCGGTGTCTTTCTACAACTTACCTTTTCCCTTTTTGAAATGTGTTTACCAATAACAAATATTTAAATAAGGTCATGTTCAATTTTCCAAAACCATTAGTACATTTTGTAAAATTTTGTGTCAAACATAGGCAATTTTTATTTTCTTTAAACTTTTTTTAATCTTCACGTTTTTTATTCACTTGGGAAATTACCATAAAGGACGCTTAAGAGAATGGTGCAGATCTCATGTTCATTAAAATGCGCATTTTTTCGAAGATTTAAATAAAAGTAAAAAATGTCGTCTTCCTACAACTACAATTGTGAAGTTACAATTTTTTTCTTAGTGAAATTTGTTCATAAAAAGTAGATTTTACTGCGGTTCGTGAACGATTCCACGCAGTTGCTTCATAAGTCAGAATTTGTATATTATTTAATATCGCTTTGTTTGTTTCTTGTATTCGATCTTTTGTTACACATTTGCGCATTAATCTTTGAGAAATTATTTAAAACTTATTTAAAATACATGAAAATTGCTAGCTTTCAGGGAATAACAACAATTCAGGGAAAGCAATGATGGTATTGCGCGTCGCAATAGAGAATTCCTGTGAATTACGTCTCATTGTTGAGACATGATTTAGCTGTATGAAACGGATTTATAATTGCCAAATTTGAGTAGGTATTTGCTTGGAAATACTTAGTTTTCGCTCAAAATGCTCTACTATTTCTCAGGAGCAGACGCTGGAACATCATGCACTAAAAAAGTTAAAATTATGCTTCCAATATGCACTTAAAGTAGCCAATTCACGCCCTCAAAACTCAGAATGTGTTAAACACAATATAGTGAAAAATAGATACCATTTATTTATATTATTTTTTATTTTACACTGTAGTATAAAACGCTTATAATAAAAATATATTTTCAAACATTATAATAAAAAGAGTTGTTAAGCCACGCTTAACGAGTTTTAAGTCACGTTGAAAATGTCTCACTTTAGCCTACTTCTACGCAAAAACTTGGAATATATGCTTTTAAATATGCCACATAAATAAAAATAAGCAGTTAATGCAAAATAAAAATGGGCTACTTTTTTAGTTTTGGTAGTAGGTAAAGTTATATACGTTTCCTTTCGATATGCGCAATCAGTAAAAATATGTAATTGCGGTCTAGAAATGAGTAAATGGTTTTTATTTTATTTAATAGGTAATTATTACAGACAAAATTAGCTAACTTGATCCTATGTGGCTAGGCCGAAGGCCTTTAAGCCATTACAATACCTACATCCTTTCGCGTTCTAATCTTTCGAATTCTGGTATTCACCCCAAATGGTCTCTCCATCGCATCGAAGCCGCGGAAAAGAGACCATAAGGTACGGCTCAGGAAAAAAACCCTGAAGGGGGAAAAACCTGCCGTCAGAAGCCGAGTACATTCTAATCTATCCGACGTTTATTTTAGCTATATTATTTTCTGGCGCGGGCGTCCCGTCGTCTCCTTCCAGTGCTTGGCCTCCTCAGCACCTGAAATCAAACAGCGCCACAGAAGATCGTCCGCACCAACGCCTCTGCCCTTATATTTTCGATCCCCCCCTTACCTTCCCCCCCTAATGTGCTTATTACTATGCCAGTTTTATTTTATTATATTAACATTTTACTTACCAATTAACTATGACTTATGACTTATTTCTTAACTGTTTACTTACTTAGCATAAAATTACTGATTAACTTACATATTGTTAGCTTATTGACTTATTTATTTCTCTCCAGTCTAGGCTCCGCTCAAGCTAACCGGTGCTGTTTTCCCACTCCCTAATTTCAGTTTCCCTAATGGTCCGAACCTTTCCTAAAAATGTTCCTAATTCTTCCATGAATTTAGACCTTTTATCACCTAAAATGTTTTGGGCGAGCGTTACGTTCCTGTTTAGAAAGTAGTAATTTCCCATTCCCATCCATTTTTTTCTCCATGTTTCGGTTGCACAGCAAATTAAGAGTATGTGGATCCAGTCTTCCCTATCACCGCAAAGCACACAGATGCCATTACCACTTGCGTCCTTTAGTCTACGTTGCATCCATCCCCCAACCCTGAACCAAGCGTATCCCCCTCTTGCGTCC